TTGTTTTGCAAATATGAATTGCCTTGACCAAAAAGTGAAGTGTCAAACACGCCTCGGTCTATTGTACTCTCGGAAACGCAAATGACGTCATTTAACTTCGTCTACAGGTTCGAAGTACTTGAATGATTGCATGGAAAAAATGCAAAAATCAAACTGCGCCGCTCTTTCTTGGAATTGTGATCTTTTTTATTTTATTTATATAATAAAAAGTAATTATTTTTTATTTTTTATTTTATTTTGTTTGTATATTTTGTAATTTAAATTTAAAATTTTTTATTTTTATAAAAAAATATATTTCATAAAAAAAATCATGTGTACGGTTATTGGTTAGAAAATAAAAAATAATATATTTTAATAAGAGAAAAAAAAAATGTACTAGTACTCCAATTTGAGAGACAAGACACAAAGTTAGACGAGGAGTAAAAAGATACAGGATTCGAATTCCATTAATCCATTTTCACATGGTATCACATGTATTATTTTATTGTTTTGCAAATATGAATTGCCTTGACCATAAAGTGTAGTGTCAAACACGCCTCGGTCTATTGTACTCTCGTAAACGCAAATGAGGTTATTTAACTTCGTCTCCAGGCATTCCACTGATGTGGCCTAACGGCCACTGCTGCCCATATGGGCAGCCGGTGGATATGCACCATCTTCAGTTCGAGCCACACTAATTACAACAGATACTAACACTCTAACAACAATTTCCCTGGTAAAAAAAAAAACAAAAACTACTTCGTCTACAGGTTCGAAGTACTTGAATGATTGCATGGAAAACCGCAAAAATCTTGAATGATTGCATGGAAAACCGCAAAAATCAAAATGCTCCGCTCTTTCTTGGAATTGTGATCTTTTTTATCTTATTTATATAATATAAAAGTATTTATTTTTTATTTTTTATTTTATTTTATTTGTATATTTTGTAATTTAAATTTAAAATTTTTTATTTTTAATGAAAAAATAATTATTGAATTATTTAAGTTATTAACTGAAATTATGATACTTTTAGACTAATTAATTTCAAGAAATACTAAGAGTTTATTTAATCTATATTTTTAGGGTATAAATTAAAGTTTATTAATTATAATATTTTTAATTAATTTTATATAAATTTTTATGTTAAATTTATAGTTTTTTTATAAATTTTAAGTATAAATATTATATTGTATTATATTTTTATATTTTATATTTTTGAATTTTACTTAAAATTATATATATAATTAATTATAAATATTATAATTAATGATACTTAATTTTTACTTTAAAAACACAAATTAAAAAACCTCATATTTTTGGTTTATTTTATAAATTTATTAAAGTATTTAATAAAAAATATAAAAATAAATTTTTTAAAAATATTTTATTAATAAATTCTTAATAAAAAAACTGTATTTTTGTGAGAAAAGTAAAAGGATGATTCATCGACGCTTAATGGAAAAAGTTGGAGAAAATCCAAGCTAAGAAAAACAGGGTACTTGTAACCTCAAAGCTTTCATTTTCTCAGTTTGTTCTTATCTTTTTTGAAAGTAGGTAATGAATAGTTTGTTCTTATCGTTATCGTCTGCTTTCTGTTTTACGGCATTGACATGAACAGAATTTCATAACTTGCAAACCCCAAATGGCCGGCATAAGTTTCTCCCCCATAAGCAGAGCTTCAGCTCAGATCTCCATATCATCCTCTGACATCCTCAAATACACAACCAGTTGCACCAGAAGATATTTTAAGTTTGCGCTCATGATGTTGAGTATTACAACGAACAGTACCGAAGCAACTGAATTCCAGTTTGTTTGGATCCATAAAAACAGTAAATATCTTTTCTATATGTATTACTTCTTTTCAATCCAGGAAAAACGTTGATTTTCAAGCATGAAATTGCATATAAAATACATCTATGTAAGAAGTTAATTACAAGAGCTTTTGATCTCAGTTCAAGATAAGGCTCCATATTCCAGCCAAAAGCAAGCCATGGCAGCCTTTCTGTAAGACGCACCCCTTAACAGAATGTAACACAGAAGACCCATGATTCCAACCTGAAAATATTGAATCAAATGAGCAAAGCAGTGTGACTCTCAAAAAAAAAAAAAGGGAATTCCACACCCAATATGCAGCCATGAAATGTTTGCCTAATCCCTTCTTAAAGCCAATACTACAACTGCATCTACCAAATGAAGAAAAGGTTCCAGCATATGCTGGCCATAGTGAGTAGAGAAGAATTAAGGCATAAAAATTCCCGATCTCCAACCAGGCTTCTGTATGTCCGATCAACGTAAAACTCAAATTATAGCTTGATAATAGAGTAGTCAAGCTTGAGTTCCACACTTGAATTTGAATTTTCATATCTTATTTGACAAGTAAAACTCAAGTGAAAGAATAAAGTCAAATGATGCTGCAATTCCCAGCAAGCTAGGTATTCTAAAGCTCAAACTCAATTGTTGAACTCAAATTTTCAATTATGACCCTGATTGCTTCCAAAATATTTAAATAAATTAAATTAATACAGTTCACAAATAGTTAAATGCATGCATTCAACATAGTAAAAAAAACTTGTCTAGCTTAAAAAAAACTGCAAATTCAGGAGTTTTAATTCGGAGAAAATTCTAAAAATTAGGTGCTAATTTCATTAAAAAAAGAAGAAGAAAGAATCCATTCATAATATGATTCAGTGATCAATCATCAAATCCTTTAAAATTTAAAAATTATGATGTTTTAAGATGTATTAAATCATCAATTTCATTTTTTAAAAGAACTCTAGATCCAAAATAAAATCAGTCATTTTGTTAAAATAACTCAATAAAAAAAAAATCAAGAAAACTTTCTCAACATGCAGTAAATTAATGAAATTAATCAATTTCTTCCATAGTCCATCAAACCACAGAATTGTTTGATTCCCTCTATCACCTCCGATTAGTCCGATTACACCAACATATTTCTCTAATTCCTTATTGCATGCAAATTTCAACGGAGGAAAAAAAAACCCTAAGTCCATCAAACCACCGAATTGTTTGATTCCCTCTATCATTGAACCCAATTTTTCAATTACAACTCTAATTGCTCCCCAAATTTTGAGATACAATAAATTAATTCAGTTCACAAATAATTAAGAGGTATGCATTCAATATAGCAACAAAAACCTATTTGGCTAAAAAAAATATGCATATACTGAAATTTCAATTCTCAAATAATTCTACAAATTAAGAATTAATTTCACTAAAAAATAAATCCATTCATAATCTGATTCAGTGATTATACAATTTTCTTAGAAAATGCTTCACTCTAGCGATCTCAACCGATTATATAAATAAAAACACTGAAGAACTTTCACCAGAGAACACCTTAAATGAAAATATAGGCAAAACACTTAATTTCTCAAATTCTGAATAATTTGATTTTGTAAGGCGGAGCGTCAGGATTGAAAAGGTCGTCTTCTTTGTAGAGGCCGATCTCGCTACCATGTTTAATGTGTTTGCTTCTCATAAATTCATTCCAACCTTTACCACTAAGATATGACAGACCGGACGATTCGCTGCTGTCAAATCTCCATGTTGTATTCGTCTCATCATCTCTAACCACGATTTGATGTTCTTCAAATTTTATACCACTGGGGAGCTTCAATTTTTTTTTTCCAATGTCAGTCTGGTCGACGGTTTTCCGAAAGATCTCCGTCATTGCTTCCGTTGGGTGTTGGCTATGTAAAAATGCTTTGAATTTGAGAGTCTGCGGAATGCCGACCTGTAGAAGATGATGCCTCTAGCATAAAAACCTGTCTAGCTAAAAAAAAAAAAAAATCAAATACAGTACTTTTAATTCCGAGAAAATTTTAAAAATTAGGCACTGATTTATATAAAAAAAATAAACTCATTCATAATATGATTTAATGATCAAGCATCTAATCTTTTAAAATTTAGAGATTATAATGTTTTAAAATCTATTAAATCATTAATTCCATCTTTCAAAAGAATTTTAGATTTAAAATAAAATCAATCATTACCTTTTGATCAAAAAAAATAACTCAAGAAAAAAAATCATCAAACTTTCCCAACATGCAATGAATTAATGAAATTAATCAATTTCTCCGCAGCCCGTCAAACCATAATAATGTTTGATTTCCTCTATCACCTCCGATTGCATGCCCATTTCGAGTGAGTAAAAAAGGAAAAAAAAAAAACCCCTAAGTCATTGTTAACTCAATCATACCTTTTGCTTGTTCCTCTCTCTCAAGAATGCAATCCTGGATGCCGAATTAGTACAGTAGAGACGACGATCCAATCAAGATGAAGTCATTGTCTCGATAAAATTTTCTTAGAAAGTGCTTCACTCTGGCCATGACTCTCGTTACTCTTTGGGGAGAACAAGTGTGGCAAAACCAACATTTAACCCTTCATCAAAATTGATAGGTTTTAGTTTTTCATCTTATAATATAATACTTTTAATCTTTTATCTTACAAAAATGATAGGTTTTAATTCTCACCTTATAAAGTTAATAAGTTTTAATCATTCATTTTATATTTTGACACTTCTAACCATTTATTGAAGAAAATAGCTTTTATTTAACATCAGATTATAATATTCTATTAGTTCTAATTGATTGTCAGTTTCGTTAATTGACTGTTAGTTCTGCTAGTTAACTACTAGTTCTGTTAATTGACTGTTAGCATCTGTTATAAAAAACATGAAATTTAACATCAGGTTATAATATTTTATTAGTTCTATTAGTTGACTGTTAGTTTTATTAATTAACTGTTAATTTTATTAATTAACTGTTAATTCTGTTAGTTGACTGATAACATCCGTTATAAAAAATATCTAATTTTATTTGTTAGTTCCATTTTTATTTTTACAAAAACATAACTTCCCGCTTGGCTAGTCCACCACTTTTTTTACCTTTATTATTACTAGTCCAGCTGGCCTGAAATTTATTGGGCTTCACTTCTTAGGGCGCCCAATAATTTTAAGAATTTTTACATAGCCCATTAGTTTTAGGATCCACAGGAGACCTGGCGGGGGGCCGGATCTTATCCAGATATGGTTTTTTAGACACGTCAGCCGTGGATACACACGTGGCACGTGACTGATGGAGTCTTCCCGTTCCCGTAACCTTGAGAAAGACTCGGGATTCAGAATCAGACGGTTCAACGACGCGTGAGTCGCGACTCACTCTCTCTGATTGATTTCCGATTTCCAGTCCATTTTCTCTTAATTTTCAATGGTCCACTACTCCCGATTGATTTCATTCTTTACGCCGGCGACCTGCATTTCTACTCATCAGCCATGATGACGGCATCTCCACCGTTGATTCTCAAACCCGTCGAAATAACAACGGGAAGACAATCACTTTCTGGGAATAATTTGAAATCGAGATCAAACCTGACAAGGATATGTAGATTCGCGCCGCACAATGCCAAATTCGCGGTGACAAGGAGCTCAAGAAGTGAGACTCAGGCACCGTCTCAGTCGATGGAGCCTTCTGAATTGGACACCAATGTCTCTAAAACTTCACTTGATATGTCGGAAGCTATGGAGGAGGGCATCGAGAAGGTCAATTTTAACTTTTATTTTTGGTGAAGAATGAAGCTAGGATTGATAATTTTGCAGGCTCTGAATGTTTTCTAGGAGTTTGATTTGCAGGTTATTTATAGATTTCGGTTTTTGGCGATTCTTGGTGTTTTTGGATCTTTGATCGGATCATTCCTCTGCTTCATTAAGGTATGTTCCTGAATCTCTTTTTAGAATTGTATAAATTTTTTCTCCTCCATCAAGTTGTGTTCCTGAGACACCTTATAGTGCAGGACATACTGTGTAGTACATTTTATTCTTTGTATTCTGGATTACATTAAGAAATTTTAATAGTTTTGCATTTAATAATTTCTCTAATTAAACTCGTTGATTTACATTGTCTGGAATGCAGGGCTGCACTTATGTTGTGTCATCTTTTACAGAATATTTTGCAAATGGTGGCAAAGTGGTTTTATTGCTTGTTGAAGCCATAGGTGAGGGTAAATAATATATATATATATATATATATATATATTAACGAAGTGATGAGTTACTTCCTGAAGTCCTGTGGGTTTTAAATTTGACTGTGCAATCATTGCATCAATATACATTCTAGAGCACCATTATTATTAATTTGTTTTCTTATCTGACTTCCTATTTGATGGGAAACTATCTAATGCTGAATTGCATTATCTTGTTTTGTTTGCCAGTTGCAATGGTATATTGAATATCTTGTTCTCTGTGGCAAGTTGAATGGCCTTCAAAATTAGTGGAGTTGGCATCAGTTTATTGTGAGATGAGATGTGACCTATTTTAGAAGTTTTGGAGTGGAAACTTATAAGAAATTTTTTACTTTGGCCAACAATTTTTCCATGGAGATTGACTTTGTGGAAATATTATTTTTTCTAAAAACGTCTCTTTGATTTAGTTAAACATACTTAGCTCTTTCAAAGTTGAAATTATTTTATGTAATGGTTGTAAGCTCACAACCATCAAATGCACCACTTGCAAGTCACCTCCTGATGGCATTCATTTTTCTAGCGACTGAACTTTGACATCAGCCATCAGTTGTTGTCAGCCACTAGTATTACTATTGATCATTGCTTCACATTGGTAACCACTGGCAGTCAGTTGGGTCTTACCAATAGCCAACACTACTTGCTGATACTTTTGAGTTTTGAGTAGTTTGGAGAATGTGTAGTTATCAGTAAATTCCAAAGTATTTGCTGAAATCACTAACCACTAATTCATTGCTCTTCCAGATGTGTATCTTTTGGGGACCGTAATGCTGGTTTTTGGAATGGGTCTTTATGAGCTCTTTGTCAGCAATCTTAGCATTGCAAAGTCAGTATCAATGGAAAATGTTCACCAATCAAATCTCTTTGGCCTGTTCACTTTAACGGTCAGTTAAATTCTAACTAAATCAGAGCTGTTCTTTTTCAATATCTATACCGGTATTTTTCTTCATGGTTTAGCTTTTATTTGCTATTCATCATGTGAACCTGTTTTGGTTATATAGTTTGTGAGAGAAATTTATTATTTTTCTTGTAGCTAGGGTAGTTAGCATTGCAAATAATGAAACTAGTTGCTGCAGAGTTTTTACACCTGTGCTCATGTATACCTAAACCCTTTCCTTTTATAGGAACGACCGAGATGGTTAGAAATCAAAACTGTCAGTGAGCTGAAGAACAAAGTTGGGCATGTGATAGTGATGCTTCTTCTGATCGGACTTTTTGACAAGAGTAAGAAAGCCGTTATTTACTCTCCCATTGATTTGCTTTGCTTCTCAGCTTCTGTCCTTTTTTCCTCTTGTTGCCTTTTCTTGCTATCTAAGCTCACTGACTGAAAATAAGTTCTTCATTGTTCAGTTATTCTGTAAAAATATTAGTTAGGCAAAACCAACCAGTAGAATGTGTATATATGTAAGAAATCTCTCTTTGTGTAGCCATGTAAGTGGTTTCAATTTATATTGAATCCAAAATATACCATAATATCTATAATTGCAAGTGAGAAATTTGCAACATTGTAGCCAAAGTTTGACCTAAATTTATAAAACTTGAAATTAATGGATAATATTTAGGACTAAATTGTATTTGCTTCTCTGTAATGGAACTATAATCTAGAATTCTTTCAACATCCATTACTTGAGTTTGCTTCACCAGTCCACCCTATCTGATTCCTGGGGTCCCCAAAGCAACTCCATAACACTGTGAGATCTACCTAGTGCAAGAAAGGCCCACCTAATTTTATGTTTTCATCATGTATGCTTAGGATATTTTGTAAGTTTAGCCTGATGAATTGATAACCCTAACTTCTGTAAGACATTCAGATTGGTCTTAGTGCATAATGATTATTGATTAATGAGTAAAGCCATATCATCAAGCCGCTGCTGATCGATACTTTAACTTTCACACCCTTTTTGATTTGGTCTTTTCTCATGGTTCATTGCTTTGCTAGTCTCCTATTATATACATGTGCATGGGGCATGCACAGCAATATAGGGTGGGGAAATTTGAATCTAGGATCTTCTTAACCTCTCTATCTCTCTTGGATCTGTTGCAAATTATCAATAACCATGGAGCTTAAGCCTTTTATATTTGTTTTAAGTGAAGAATGCCTTTAAATGTTGATGTTTAGAAAGCTGTGTATTCTTGTGCTTGTCCATCCTTCAGTGGGAATGGCTGGTAATAAGCTCTTTACAAATTAATAATAAAAAGGTGCAATAAATGCACCCTTAGGCACAGGTTAGAAAATTCCATAATAAAATGATGCAAAAACAACTTGCGCAAAAGGTAGCCAAATGCTAGAGTAATAACCATGAAAAATAGTTTTATTTATGCTATAAGATATTATTCAAATTTCTCTCTTCTTGGAGCACCACTTGTCTTCTTTTGCCCCCATGAGGGTGTCTCAATTGGTTAAGAGCTCAAGACACCAAGTTGGAGATCTCAAGTTCAAACCTTGAGGTAGGTGGGAAGAGATTAAGGGAAGGGGAGGACTATCCTTGTTGTATAGAACATCATCTAATGTACCAAAAAAAGGAAAAAAAGAATATAATGCCTTAGTGTGAGGTCTGAGTACTTATTATAAGAGCTAGGTTTTGTTCATCTATTTGATGGCCAACCACATCTGCAATATGGCATCCAGTATCCTAGGAAAAAGGATAAATTTTATAGTATGCTATTGATGTATATATGATTAATAACATATTAAATCTCTTCCTCTATCCCTCTTTCCCTCTTTTCTTATACTTTTTTGTTTTGAAATGAATCTGAACAATATCATGTGGTACACATTTTATATGTATCATATGCTTGGTCTGGTAAAGAAACGGATGAGTTCTTTTCCCATTGTGTGGGTCAGTACAGACTAGTGCAGTTTGAGGTTAAGGTTTCCTTGAACAAAAATGGAAATGATTGATGGTGATGGATGTTTATTCCAAGTTGTGTCAGCTTTTGTTTTTTTTAAATAAGATGCAAAAGTATACAATACAAGGGTACTAAAGAAGAGCCCTTACCCATATGGACTAATATCTTTTCTCCACCTCCTTACCCCCTCCCTAAAAGAAGAGGAAGAAGTGGGCTTCTAAATTATAGACATGCATGGTATCCATATCAGCAGAGCTGTAGAAGGCACAGGGGATTCATGTCGTTGCATGTAAAATGGTAGCCATTGTTAGGATTTTCCAAGAGGACATTTTCTTCATTATTGCTACTTTTAGTGCTGTTAATTACTGTTAAATATCAAATTTACGCTTATCAGTTATCATAAATTGTTAATATTGTCTGTCGCATAGCTGGGATCCTCTGACCCTAACACATTAAGTAAAATGCATACACATTTTCAGAAATGCAAAAAAATAAGGAAATGAGGGGAATAAATTCTATATGTCTTATACCATTTACCATTCAACCACTCGTAAAACAGGAATAAAACTGATTTACTGTAAAACAGGAGATTGCAGAACCTACATTTTATAGAAATACCCCATAAAAGAAAAAAAAAAAAAGAAGATGAACTTCTTAACAAATCCCTTAAGATCTTAGTGGCTGAACCATTTCTCTTTAAATAACCTTAATTGTCATGGTGCAAAGTCTTTCTTAGACCACTGAACGAAAACCAAATGTTTTAGCATTCGGCCAAGTTGTTTGTGGTGTTGTCATATCAGGATCCATGCCTTGCTTAAAAATCATATATGCGATGATGAATGGCTTGTGAGAAACGTATTCTTGAATTGTAATATGTTGAAAAAATGCTATCTCTTCCGTTTGTGGAAAATATTCCTTTGCTGACGCTGCTTTCTTCTATCTATTTAATCACATGTCCAACTGAAATTATCATGGGCATCAACCCCTTGTTTTATGTTAGTTCATTCTTCTTATAAATAGCCACTCTCAGCAAAGCCACAAACACCACTACTCCTTACATTCATTCCTAGAAGGCTAGAAGCAAGTGATCATAAAAGGCTTAAAACACTTTATTTTGTTTCTCCCTATTGCTCCAATGGCACACAGAGTCTTTCTTCTCTCATTGTTTATGATACTACTTCTACAGCAACATTCTCAGCTGGTGGCAGCATCACGTTCACTAATGCTTCATCCACCAGCTATCCCTAGAGCCTCTTTGATGGGAAAGCCAGTAAGCCCTCCTGCCATTGATTTTGATTGGTTTAGTAAAAATCATTACAGGACATTACAGGAAGATGCTTTCCGACCAACAAGTCCCGGGCGTAGCCCTGGTATGGGCCACCAACAACCACCAGGTTATTAATTATCCATAGGTTCCCAACTATCTGTGAGTGTTGTGACAGCAGAACATCAGTTGGCTGCTCAAAAATAAAGTTTTCCTTCAGTAATGCCCTGTAGAATGAGTTTGGACTTGCAGAATAAGCATCAATCTTTTTTTTTCTGTTTTTTGTAATATGAAAACCTACTTTGAAGGTGTTGTTACGTGTGTTGCAGCGGTTCTATTTGTAAAATAGGTTTGTTTAGCACTGCTTGTTGCTTTGTGAAATTAAGACTTGAACTGGTCAGTTGTTAATGTCTTTTTTTATATAATATATGAAGTAAGCTTGTTTTTGAGATTGTAATCTTCCTTTAATTCATCTACTGTGTTGTACTTTGTGCTTTTTCTCCTTTTGGTAATTCATCGACTGTGTTGTACTTTGTGCTTTTTTTCGGCGCAAATTCCTTACGTAAGATGGAGATTCTAATAATATTCATTTTTAAGGTTTTTATTTTTGTGAAATTTTGTGGAGAATTTTTTTTGTTTTGTAAAAGTCTGTGAAAATCTATATATAATAAAAAATATATATTTATTTATATATATATTTTTATAAATATATTATTAATTAATTTTTAATCATCCAACTTAAGTGGTTAACTTAACTTACTTTAAACTGTTGAACTTAATTCCTTTTTCAGTTTTAGTTTTTTTAAATCTAATTTAATAACTCAATCCAGCCTAGACATGTGGAGCAATTCATATATTTTTTTTATGAACTTACAACTAGATTTGTTGTATGTGTATGACAATATGTATTTGTGACAATTAATTATTAGATATTATTTTGTTGTATCATATATTAATATATTTACTTATTTGAGTTGTTTTAAATTTTTATTTTTTTATTTATAAAAAAATAATATTCAACTTTATAGATTTAATACTTATCAAAAACTCCGAATACCCATGATGTCAAAAATCCGTGTAAAGATCCTAAAACCGTTATTGATAAGGATGAGATAAGGAGAGGATCCCCACCCGCGGGAACCGTTGCCATCCTTAGTCAGAGCCTACTATAGTGCAGCCGAAAAGGTGTTTTGATACGTAATTGAACAGTTAAAAGGCTCTCGTTAAGCTTATTTCCAGTAAAGAAAACCGATGCATATGCAAGAAGGTAGCATCTTAGGAAGTTGCTAAGTCAGGATGATTCATAGGAAAAATCAATAGTTTAGTCCTCAAACTTTTCGAGTCGATGAAAATTTGTCCTTGAACAGAAAACACTCATGAATCCATCCCTCAACTTCATGTGTTGCATGAATACCTAGCAAAATTTAACCTCTGTTATATTTATTTGTTGGATAAATATTTTACATATTTTGATAGGAAATAGGGGAAGGGAACCTGATACTCAAACCTTAGGGGTCATGTTTGATTGGTGGTAGTAATTATTCCTTTGTCAAACTATAAAAAAAAGTGAATTAGAAAAACGAAAAATAACTAAACTTTAATATTGATAATTCTCTGTTAAATTAAAGAATGGATGAAGAATGTGTATTTTTTTCATTTTTTAAGAAATAAATATTATTTATTCTTTACTAATGTAAAAAAAAAAAAAAATTAGACATCAAAACTTAATTATTCCTAATTTTTCATGAAAATTTCTCTATTTTAACTTAGTTTTATAGTTTAACTAAGTAATAATGGTTACCGACAACCAAACAACTATATGCAATGTTGATGTTTCCCACGAAGACCAGTGGAGGCCTTTTGCCTGGGTAAGAGCCGTTTAAGCATGGTTAATTTGCGGGACACGTTTCGACAATTTAGTGCGTGCAGGCGAGACTTTTTCTTCAGGTGGCATGTTATGACAAATTGGTAGTAAAAAATAAGAAAATAGGTATTCCTTATTTTGTTCCTAATGTAAAATGAAAATTAGACAGTAAAATTTAATTAGTTTTAATTTTTTATGAAAATTTCTCTATTTTAACTTATTTTTATAATTTAACTAAGTAATAACTATTGCTATCAACCAAACAATATGCAATGGTGATGTTTCCCACGAAAGACCAGTGGTGGCCTTGTGCTTGGGGAAGAACCGGATAAGCATTGTTAATCTGTGGGACACGTTTCGACAATTTGGTGCAGGCGTGAAACTTTTCTTCTGGTGGCTTGTCATGACAAATTGGCAGTAAAGGAAAAGAAAAAAGGTTTTTTTTTTTTTTTTTTTAATATCAAATGAAAATTCGATATTAAAATGTAGTTATTCTTAATTTTTCATGAAAATTTTTTTGTTTTAACTTATTTTTATAATTTAATTAAGAAATAACTATTACTGTCAACCAAAAAAATATGTAATGATGTTTCCCACGAAGACCAGTGGTGGCCTTGCGCCTGGGAAAGAACCGTTTAAGCATTGTTTGCGGGACACGTTTCGA